TCAATCGAAGTAAAGTCCACCAAGTGTATCGAGGTTTAATGATGCGGAAACACTCAAAAGTCAGTTATATTCTTGACAGCATGATTTTTCCTATTTAATGCTTACAGGCTGTTATGGTCCTCATAAGGTAGTCATTTTGAGCTTCTGATCAGGAGTTGCATGCTTGAGACCCGTGTTGAAGCGTAGGCTAAAATGCGGGCAAAGGTAGAGCAGCATTTGAGGTTTGAAGTCCAAGTTCCTGCTGTTGGACCTACAAAAATTTGATCATTCTCCTCAAATCACGAGGTTTCCCTTACTTTGTGACAGATGAATTTCAACTTTCTTGTTTTAGCGGATTTGATAGCAATTATCATTTGTCCTTTTTCGCGGTTTTAGCAATCTTCCAGTAGACGAACAGGAACAATTTGTTCCAACTGTCACACCGCAACGACCACTCTGTGGCGGCGCAATAACAATGGGGAACCCGTTTGTAATGCCTGTGGACTCTACTTCAAACTACACAGTGTAAGTTGGTGTTTTGGATAGCATTTTTCATCTTGTGTGCGACGCGGCTAAACCTCTGGAAGTGGCTGGGTTAGAAAACCAGCATTGATTTACTCTTTTAAACTAAAAGATTTTTAAGATCGCATAAAAACGTCACCATCAATTTACCAATTTTCCTCCAAATTATCATGAGCCACCTCACTACTGCTGAGTCAGCAGCCTGCTCAAATCATCCACATTTAATTCAAAAGACAAATTAATACCTTCTAGTTTCATGGAAGAGACGTAAGCAGATCTTTCGGTGATAAGACCTAGGTGATCGGCTCGCTTTGGTAGTAACGCTCAGTCTTGGAAGGCAAATTGGAATGGGCTGGCTAGATGGAGCGGTTGGAGTCTACTTGTCACCGTAACTAGAGGCATCCTCCGAAGCGGACCCTCTCTCACACAGTTCTCCGCACATCCTCCGACCACCTGTGCACGAAAATCACTCTCACGCGTCCACACACAGATTGGCCACTAGTCATGGGGAGGACATTTGTGCGCGCATATGTGCACATCGTATGGCGCCAGTACTCCTGGCGCCACAGCCACACGACGTCGTCGCAGTACGTTGATCGAGCTCACCTACTCACACGAACACGGTCTCGTAGGGTGGGCAAAGGGGGAGGCATTGGGGGAATGAATTAGTTTAGAAGGTATCCAGCCAGCCGCAGCAACGCATTAGTCCTTCCACCACGCCAAGGGGTGTCCGTAAATAACAGTTTCAACTGTCGTCGTCCATATGGCGTAGCTGCGCGAACAAGCTTCAGAGTTTAATTAATTTGTGTTGTTCTTCATCACAGGTACAAAGACCCATCTCAATGAAAAAAGACGGCATTCAAACACGCAATCGAAAGGTCTCCCAAAAGTCCAAGAAGTGTAGGTCTAGTGGCGGCTTCTCAGAGCTGGAGGAATTGAGTTTGGACTACCTGATTAAGCCTACTTTGAGCCACCTTACGGCAGCCAGTCACTTGGCTGCAGCGGCCGGGTATCATCCTCACAAAATGGCTGACTATATGTCCTCTTATCTGGACGGGGTTTCTTCAGCCTACACCCTCTCTTCCGCCTCCTCCACCGGCTACCCTCCTGTTGAGAGCGCTGCAGCAGTTGCATCTGCAGCCATGGTAGCCATGGGAGGGAGTCAATCCTCACCTTATGCTATGTCGCAACCAACAGGATTCTCGTTAGCTTATCCCAACCACTCTCATCCCCATCAATTGCAACATCAGACGTCATATAGAACTCCTAATGAATCAGCTACCACAACATCCGCATACTTCAGTGATTCAGGTTTCCATCAAACCGGTGGTGTCAGTGGTGCCTACTCTATATTTGATGGGCACCAATTTACTAAGACACCATTTCCGCGGCCCTTCTTCCAGGGTCAACCTGATACTTCTACAGGAGGTGAAGAGCCAACAGCAGAGGTGGCGCAGTATCAGACAAGGTTCATGGCTGAAAGAACAGGATATGAGGAAGAAGTGAGAATGTATCCCAACACCACATCTACGCCTGTATTCTCACAGGAATCGCAAGTGGCTACTGCAGCTCCTGCGACTCCCTCCTCAAACATTACTAATTACATTTCAGCAACACGACTGGGTAAGCAGGAGGCGGATGTGACACCTTCAAATGAGAATGCAACGGCCCCCCCAATGTATTAACTCCACTTTGACTTTTCACGGAAAGTTCTTATTTCTTATCTGTTTTATCCGCTCTTCACCCCCTCCCTTCACACTCCTACTTTTCTCTTACACTGTTTCCAGGCATATGTACAGTTCAAAAGCACTTCTGTTAATATGCATATAAATATATCTCGAGCACAGAATTGAAGCTGACGTTATGGGATCCATTTGTGGACATCGAGTTACTTCTGATTTTTGGAGAAACTGTATGGGGTTGGGTTTTGAGAACAGGCCATCTGCTGACCCTTAAGCCTGT